GGTGTGCGTCAGCTCGAGCGGGAGGCTCTAGGCACTGGCCACTCCCCTTCCTGCTCTTCAGCATCAAATATACAAGATCTTCCATGGAAACCAGCTCTCGCTACCTCTTGGGCCTCCCTTCATCTACCGAGCGGTAGCTAAAGCCATTGCCTCCGGCAAGCTCCCTGGGGTGCACCATGCAGCACGTGCCTCAGACAGCCAACTCCACTTCCCGTACTCAGCTCAGCAGGGTCCCAGCCACAATGCGCAGGGCAGATGAAGCCTCTCTCCACATGCAACACACAGGAGAAGAAGGAGACAATGTGGCGGAAGGGCAGGGAAACCCACGGAGAGACAGGAGGGACCGTGACAGCCCCAGTCCTGAAGGAAGGGGACTCGCAGCCCTAGATACAGCTCCCTTTGCTGCTGTTGACAGGGTTGCTAGAATGAGGCTTCTGAGGGCCGAATTCATCCTGGGAGCATCATACAACAATTCATTAACATCATGCTCGGGAACCAACCCTTTGGTGTCCCGTCACAAGGTGGGCAGTCCGGGGCCTCCCCCAGTCCGAGTAGCTGCACAGATCCATCCTACGGTCAGAGAAGTCCTTGCAGGGCGCTAGTCACCGCAACCCCCGCCCAGACCTCCACTGGCCTACAGCTCAGCTACCCCAGAACAACTAGGGCAGCAGACGGAGCACAAGCAGCTGACAGCTCTCTGCTAGCACTGGCACACGACTCCCTGAACGGCAACAGTTGTGCCAGCAAAGGGCCTGTGTCATCTTCATGCACACACACCCGGGGGCCCGCGCTCTGCTCCCCCCGCAGCTGCCACTGCCACGCCAGCCACAATGGGCAGGGCAGATGAAGCCTCTCTCCACATGCAACACACAGGAGAAGAAGGAGACAATGTGGCGGAAGGGCAGGGAAACCCACGGAGAGACAGGAGGGACCGTGACAGCCCCAGTCCTGAAGGAAGGGGACTCGCAGCCCTAGATACAGCTCCCTTTGCTGCTGTTGACAGGGTTGCTAGAATGAGGCTTCTGAGGACTGCGTCACCCACAGAAGCTTTGTCTTTCCCACACCAAAGCTGTTGCCCCCCTTTCCTTCTTGCTAAAAAAAAGACAATTTGGTTCCAAAATGCCTCATCCCCAACAGGATGTTGCTGGCATGGATTCGCTGAGCCAGGTCCTCTGAGCTTGCTCAGAGGAGGGAGGACGGATGAATTGGCCAAGGAAAACATGTTCACTGATATGCTTTAAGTAGCACAGGCAAAGGCAAACTCATGCTTAACAGCATGCTAACAAACTATTTCTGGGGGGGAAGAGAGCCATGGAAACCCATTCATGGCCCAAAGCCCCACCATGTCTTTAGCAATTACCTGGAAAAAGATATACAGTCACTGTGGGCAGTGTTTGCCAGTGACCCAACAACCAGGGGAGGGTGAATGGAAAAGAGCAGATCATGTCCAAACTGCGCTGGAGCACTTGGTAAATTGAGTGTGTTTGAACAAGGTGTATTTTCATAGAGCGAAATACAAGGACATGCTTCTTGGAACAGAATACAGAGGCTAGTTACAGGAGAAAGCGGCGACTGAGAGGACTTGGGGGTCACAGTGGATACACACTGCACATAGAATCATAGAATACTAGGACTGGAAGGGACCTCGAGAGATCATCGAGTCCAGTCCCCTGCCCTCATGGCAGGACCAAATACTGTCTAGACCATCCCTGATAGACATTTATCTAACCTACTCTTAAATATCCCCAGAGATGGGGATTCCACAATTTCCCTGGGCAATTTATTCCAGTGTTTGACCACCCTGACAGTTAGGAACTTTTTCCTAATGTCCAACCTAACCTCCCTTGCTGCAGTTTAAGCCCATTGCTTCTTGTTCTATCCTCAGAGGCCAAGATGAACAAGTTTTCTCCCTCCTCCTTATGACACCCTTTTAGATACCTGAAAACGGCTATCATGTCCCCCCTCA